GGCCACATTTTTGCAGTGTGTATAAAAATGCGTCATTGTTCACATTGAAGGGCCATCTACTCAACTGCTGTGTTTGTGTGTTTTTGTTACTAACCAAAGGAAACAACTGCTTGTAAGATGATGAAACAATGTTCTTTAATATTAATTCTGCAGCTGCTCTGCTTCAACCAAGTCTTTACAGGGCGATTGATAAGCTACTGCTTTCGCAAATCCAAAGAGAGTTAAAAGAATGAAACATGCAGTGGATTGATTGACAAGCTTTACCGCAGTTGTGTTATGAACTTCTTTTGTGATTATCTTATTACACGGCAAGAAGACAAGCTAGCAAGTCTCCCAAAAAGAAGCCGACTATCAGGCTGTCTGTGTTTGTTACGTGACCCTCCCTTTGCAGATTGTATCGGTCCTTAGAGAGTCCTTTGATGTCACAAGGGGGGCATTAGTCTGCTATCGTGTCTTTTATTTTCCTGTGAAGTTAATGAGTTCTTTGTCAATCTGACATGCTGTGAAAAGTGTCTCTCACACAGGATACTGACCATGTAGGAATGAGGTTGAAGCATGTAGCTAACGCACTCTTAACAATACATTTCCAAAGATACAGCTTGTACTTTCTTATTTGTGCGTAAACATGTACTCCTCTTGTTCAATTTCCTGGATCAAAGACACCCAAAATAGTTTATTCTACATTCTCTGCAGTCTCTGTGTTTGTATCTCAGGGGACTGGCAAAGAGATAAATTCCCTCATGCTGTGTGTGGCAATTGGATGTAATAGTCCATTTACCACTGTAAATCTGTTCTCTTCAAATACCATAGTAGGTGTGTGTGGTGTGTGTGTGTGTGTGTGTGTGTGTGTGTGTGTGTGTGTGTGTGTGTGTGTGTGTGTGTGTGTGTGTGTGTGTGTGTGTGTGTGTGTGTGTGTGTGTGTGTGTGGTGTGTGTGTGTGTGTGTGTGTGTGTGTGTGTGGTGTGTGTGTGTGTGTGTGTGTGTGTGTGTGTGTGTGTGTGTGTGTGTGTGTGTGTGTGTGTGTGTGTGTGTGTGTGTGTGTGTGTGTGTGTGTGTGTGTGTGTGTGTGTGTGTGGGACGATGTCCTGGCCAGGGTTTGCTTTGAAAACCAACCAGAGCAGCTTCTGTAAAATAGGACTATCGTCATCATGACCTCTTCTGTTGTCCCAGCTGTGTCTGAGCTAAGATGTGAGGCTTTTACTGCTTTTTTTTTTGGTCTGTCTGGGTGTTTGTTATACATCTGGTGGTCAGCGGTGAGAGGATCACATCCCTGATTCACAGCATGGCCTTTCCTGCTCCATTTGAAAACTGCTTTGATGACCTGGGGGCTTTAAGAACACAGTGTCAATGATAACACTTTGATATTTTTGCTCCAGCTGTCCGTTTTTTCTATGGTATTTTCCAATCTCTGGCAATTGCAAAATAGCGTCCCTTGTTAGAAATAGTCATTCTCTTTTGCAGAGAAACGCAGATGCAGCAGATACATTTGAAGTCTTTCAAAACAAGTAGGCAATGAGATTGTGCTTAAGACTTAATAGAAGTCTGTTTGATATTAGAATGACTGCAATTAACCAGTGTGTATTTACCCCCATTATAATGGCTGTCTTGTCACTAGACAAGGTAATTAGAATGCTTTATTATAGCAGCGTATGGAGTGAGATGTAGAGATTGTGCTCCTCGTAATGGGACTGTTCTGTGCAGTTGGAAGAATCAATTCTCTCTCTTTGTTTTCCCAAACTGCGCTGTCAGCAGAATCTTAATATTGCATGAAAACGTTGGCTGCTGTGCTACTCATATATAGTAGATGCACACACACATAGTAGACGCACACACCTGATATCCAAGTATCCCTCTCTTACTTGGCATTCTACACATAGTGCCGTCGAATGAATGTATAACCTTCCTCCATCAAACTGCTTAGCTGTGTGTGCGTATAACCCTTCTGCCTGCTAAGGCCATGCACACTGCTCCACTACAATCGCAACACAATCAATACAGCCTGCTTTCTTTTTGCTAGCAGCAGCCGTACAACATGCTCATATATTTCACTGGTAAGATCAGGCAGGAATTACTGCAAGATGAGCTCACACAGCCATCCATAAGAGTGTAGATCATGACTTGGGTATTACAGGTTATAAAACGGAGCCCAAATAGTATCACAGAAAATACAATTTTATTATAGGAGCGGATCGTATGAATGACATACTGTACAGGAGAGCATGAAAAATAACTGATATGATCTTAATCAAAATATTGACTCAGTGTCATCGAGGAAAGACGGTAAGCTGTATTGATTGTTGCACAATCAGTACTTGTATAGTGTTTGCACTATATTTTCTCTAAGTGGGTATTTGTAATGTAGCACAAAACAAAAATGTTGTTAAAACTGTTTTTCTATTTTCTTTTCTTTTTTCACAAGATCAAACTATGTATTGGTTCGTCATGCTGCCCACCACCTTTCAGAATAAAAAATCGTAACTACTATAAAATGGAATTGCAATTAAATTGGCGTTTGTGATCCCCAGAGGATGAATCCCACTGACTTTGGTGATCTGGGAAAAAAACCTTTTGAAAACTGTGGGAAGGATTGATATCAAATTCAGTACAGCCGCTCATGTTCCCCTCAGGATAAAATGCAGTAGCTTTGATGTAATCACCAGGTTAAATATATATATCCAACATTTTTATTCATGACAAAATACAGCTAACTAATGACAGTTTTACAGGCAAATTGAAGTTTATTAACATACAGCTCAAAACTCAGATTGTTAACTTTGATACTGTGTTAACATTCAGATTGTAGCATGTAGTTTAAAGCAGCACTAATGCTGTTAGCAGCGATGTACATTTATTTTACTTTGCATAAAAATGTATCCAAAGTAAAAAAAATTAGAGGACATTGTGTCTTTTGTACTTGAGAAGCAGCTTTTTATTTGCACCAATCATTTGCATTTCGCTGTTCTGTTTTTGTGCTAAACCTAACTGCTTGTCAGCTGAAGGCTTCAACCTGACTGCTACAGCTGTGCAGTGCACACGTCTTGATTTCCATTTACAAGTGATGCTTTAACTCCACTCAGAGCGGTGTAGGCTGAGCAGCAATTTACCTGATGACTAACTTCCTGCCCGCGCTCCTCTGGGTGGCAGAGAATGTCTGCCACTGTTAATATATGATAATTATGATCATAAAACGTGCTATCACAAGGTTATTCAGATGACTTTTAGAAACTGTGTAAAAGCTACTGGCACTATATCAACAACACCCAAGGTTAAACTGCAGCACAACACTTTGTAAAGAAAGAAACGCATTAAAGAACATAATGTAAAATGATAGGGGCAAAGCAAAGCTAAAAATGACAATTGTGTAACAGCATGTAATGCATGACAAAGACTTGTTTTAATCTATGGAATGAATAAACTCAATTAGTCACATTGTAAACAAGGCCATACAGATCCAAATAGGAACAGATGAATGTAGTCCAGGCTCCCCTCCAGGCATGATGTTACAGCTGATGTGTCAGATAGGATTAGCTCAGAGAGCAGTAACACACAGCAGTGCTGAGGTAAGACAAGAATCAAGTTAGAATTATTTTTGATTAGCTGATCGTTTGATTAGTTTCACAGTCATAGTCAGTGGTGAACACAATGTTTGGCCACTTCTGGAAACTGGTGTAGTATTCAAAGTCACCCCCCAGGGCGCTTTAGCATACTTTCATGTTGTTGGTCTGTGTGACGTGGTTACTTTTGTTCTTGCTCCTTATCTTGTCTGGCATATCCTAATCTGGATCAAACATGTTGGTAGTAAGTGTTGTATTATATCTCACGCGTCACGGGTTAGGTGACCAACATATATTTTGACATGCTGCCTCTGCATGGAGATGTTTTATCGTTGGTACATCTCTGAGCTGAACACATCTTTATTGTCTATTGTCAAGGCTGACAGAAGAATACTTTGAAAAGACAGACAGACTTGCACGAAAAGTGACAAAAAGACGGGCGTACAATGGCACACACACAGTGACTTCGTAGTAGTGTAGTGGCCCACAAGAAATAAAGCCCTTATCTTCACAGGAGCTTTTGTGTTTGCATTCTGTTCTCATGCCCTTTTTTTTCTCCCACTGCAGTGAACTTGCGTTTTATGCCAACCCATGTCTCCTTTTTTACACACACACTCATGCACAGCTGCAGTCAGAGGGCAGAGCAGTCTTGTCATGCATGGCTCACTGTGCTTATGTAAGAGCACTACTTAAACCTGGTTACATCACATAACAGGCAGCACTGTGTCAGTGGGTCACTGTGCCACACAACCACTGAATGCACAGTCCATGTTGGGCCCTTTACTGGGCACGTGTGCATTTAGCAACACTGTGTGCGCTGTTGCATTCAGGCGCACATATTTGAGGCTCATTCAAGCATGTGTGTGTATACATGTTCTTCATGCCAGATGATGGTGATGTGAAAAAATGTGATTCAGTAACAGCCAAGAGAAAATGAAAAAAAAAAAAACTTCTCTAAATAGTTGCTGCGCCTATAGGGTGCCAGTAGGGGGGCCTCTCTGTTTCCAAATTCTGCTCCTCCTGTATCCTCTTCACCCTTTCTCCCTCCCCAGCTCCGCCTATCTGCCAGCAGAACAGCCCATCTCTGTCTCTCTCCTTTTCTCTCAGTTTCTATGTAGTACACACACACACACACACACACACACACACACACACACACACACACACACACACACACACACACACACACACACACACACACACACACACACACACACACACACACACACACACACACACACACACACACACACACACACACACACACACACACACACACACCCCAGGGCTTGAGCGAGGGCAGGACCAACCACTCCCACTGTTCTATAGTTCCATGAAAAACACAGAGGGAGAGAGAGACACAGACAGAGGGGAGGAAGAGCGAGAGAGGGAGGGAGGAGCATAGCTGCGCTGAAGCCGAGCCCCTCTCTGCCTCACCACGCAGAGTGGAGCAGACGGCAACAGCCACACAACACACTACACACACCACCACCACCACCACCACCACCTCACACACAGTGACGGCTGCCAGGCACAGTGGGAAACAAGCGGTCAGGGAGAAGGAGCTTGAGAAGAAAAGAGAGGGATCTCAGAGGGGAAGAAAAGCAAAAGAGTTGGAGGAGGCACCTTGTGGATCAGAGGGGATTTTCCTCTGTGTGAGAGCGCGTCTGGATAGGACTATCTGCTTCTTCCCGAGCCAGAGGAGTTCTCACAGAGGCTTTTTTCTTTTGCTCATCCTCCAAGCCAGGCTCCTGCCATATCTACCTATCTGTCCCCCGGAGCTTAACAAAAGAGGGAGGGAGTAAGAGAGAAGAAAGGCAGTCACAGCTTCAGCTCCAGACCACCCTCTCTCCTCCTCCAGGTCCTCGTCCTCCTCTGTGTAAGTTCATCGCTGATTTCACTGTCCTTTTGAGGATAGCAGCGGAGGACAGTGTGTGTTCCCCAGGATACAGCCCAGCTCCCGGTGGGATTGGGCTCTCGTCTGGTGCGAGAGACGAGACAGGGAAACGGATACACGGGAAGAGAGAAGGAGACAGAGAAGAGCAAGGGACGCCGGAGAAAGCAAATTGCGGGGCATGTTGAGGGCAGCAGAGAAGAAGAGTGGGTCTGATTTTTAGAGCGGAGAGTGCAAGGAACCGGCAACCGGATCCCATCCATTCTTCCTCCTCCTCCTCCTCCTCCTCCTCCTCCTCTTCTTCTCCCTTCTCCTTTTACCCTCTCTCTGTCCTGCTTTTCAATTCCCCTTTTGTTTTCTGTTTCATGCTGCTACCCATTTAATATCTCTCTCTCCTCACCTCCTTCTACCCCAACTCCTTTTTTTGCGGCTTCTCTGGATTCTCTCTGTCTCTCTTTGTGAGCTCCCAGACAAGTAGACAGACTGAAATCCCAAGTACGATCTGTCGTCTTATCCTTCCCTTCCTCTGTGTGCTTATCACACTCACACACACACCTCAGTAAGAGGAGAACGTTTCTCTCTCTACGTCCCCCACTCGTCTGAAGGACACTGGCCGCCCCCCTGGAGTGGTCGTTCCCTCACCTGCGAGCTTCTCTCTCAAGCTTCCAGGACTTTCATTTGGATTCCAGCTACATGGGAAAACGTTTGGAGCAGCAGCCAATGTACCCCCACTACACCTACTACTACCCCCACTATCTCCAGACCAAGGTAGGATGGTCATCGATGTTGACCTATTTTACCCCTCCGAACTCAGAGGCAATGTTTGTGTGTCGCAAATAAGACATCACCTTGATGCCGTCTTGCAAACCTTCTTTTTAATAAACTCTATATCTTCTGCCTATTTTAAATCTCCTTCCCAATCAGGGCCATTTCAAGACAAAATAACAATCTTGACGTGTTTAATTTACCCATGAGTTATGTCGTGTTCCTTAATTAATGCACCATGATCCAACAAGGAGTCTGTCCCCAGCATATATAAAGATTAAGATTGTGTTTTACCAAGCAAGAAAAAGACCAAAATTGACTATATTTAAGGTTCCAATGTTTGAAAACGATTGCGAAATGGCCCCCCGCAAGTAAGCTTGCTAAATGGCCCCGTGTCCCCTATCCCCCATCCGTCTCTGAGCTGTAGGTGTCACTCAGCTGGGTTTTTCCTTTTCCTTCCACACTAAACACTTGACCCTAGACCTCCCCTCTCCACAACCCCACCAGCTCCAAGTTCAAGTTCAGGGCATGAGGCCCCCCCTTCCCTCAGTCCTTGTTTTCTGTCCTGCTTTGTCCCTCTCTGCTCTGACACCCCCACACCCTCTACCCCTCGTCGTCACTTGGCCATCCCCAGCCCCATACCCATGATTCCATGCTGTAGACGCTGGAACCTGATACACTTCTCCGATTACCAAAACCAACTTCAGTTTCTCTTCTCGGATCTTTCACTTGTATTCCTTCTCTCTTACTCACACTTATCATCAATGCACACATCCACACACACACACACACACACACACACACACACACACACACACACACACACACACACACACACACACACACACACACACCACACACACACACACACACACACACACACACACACACACACACACACACACACACACAAACTCACATAAGATATTCCCCTTTCTGAATCTTCTACCACCAAGAGGAGGAAAATGGATTGCAAAAGGCCTGATCGATGGCTCCTGCATCATATCGCCCAGCCTGCCATATCCCTTTGTCTGCCGTGATTCATTTGTTTTTCTTTCCTGTGATAGTAAGTGTGAGGAGTTGGCAGGTTTGCTGCAATATTTAGTAAATGTGTACTTGTCAGCAGGCAAGAGAGATGGAGAGAGATGCAAAGATAAAAGTGTAGGAGTGGGATGCTTTGAGAATAGAGCGATCATGCTATTGGGTGGACACAGTGTGGGAAGAACAGGTAAGCTAATGATTGCTCCACTTTTAAAAATAGGTTGAACCTTGAACCATGCTTAGACTGCATGATTCATTTGCAGTCTAATAGCAACGCGTCTTATAGGAATGTGAAGTCCTATATACTTTATTTGAACCAATAACACATTGGTACAGTAGGATTGTCTTATTCAGGGTTCCTTCCCTATAATCCAATACAAATCTATCACAGTGAACTTCCAGCCAATTAACAATCTGATATAATTGTTGTATTTGTTTTACAGCTGCATGGTGCCCTCCAGAAAACCTAAGAGCACTATTCAAATAGCCTCTCCTCTCCAAAACATTATAGATCTCTCTCTAAATGTCTTAATTATTTCCAAAAGAAGACTTAACACCCTAAAAATAACATTTAAATAAATAAATATGTGTTGAAAGAAGCTGTTACTGCCACCGCACAAACACAAAGATCTCACGTGGATGTTGGCTGTTTTAATTTGTGCATGTGTTATAGTTAATGACGACTGATTTTGGGACGAGATCCAATCAAGAGAAACTTCAATATAGGGAGATTTATTGTAGCTGATACTGATTATTAAAAATATGAACAAAAATATCTTTCAGATGCGCTCAACTGTTAACACATAGGCATATTTATACTGTTATAGTCCGGGTTAATCAATCTAGTTAGAGTTTATAAACATCTTTTCACAAGCTCAATCAGGTAGAAACCGGCTAATATGTAGTATTGTATTCATTGGCTTAAACACATCCAGTGCAGCTCTTTAGTTCACAAAACAAGATCAACATTTCCAATTAACTGCACAATATACTTGCTGATGAAGAGCAGATTGCATTTGCAGCATTTCGACATCAGCGACTTATCTTCTGATCTGGGATCTGCACACGCTCACATCTGGGCGCTGTCTGATGAATTTAGGAACAGAAGCTGTTGTTAAAGCACATCTGCGATTCCGTTGTAATAAACAACATCGCCAATGACGAGCACGTCTCTTTGTTGGCTAATCTGGAAGAGTAAATGCATGTCTACAACTGGGTAATATAAACTCTGTTGTTTCTAAATGTCCTTTTAATGAAAGAAACTCCAAAGATCTATATGGTAATTGTCTCTTGGCAAATAGTCTTCTTTTGTTTTATATTGTTTTCCCTGAACAGAATTACAAAGAACAAAAGCACAGTTCATCTTATCTGTATTATTTAAAAAAAAAATAAGAATATGCTCAGAAAACTTTGACAACCAGTGTTTCTGGCAACTTTTTCCTCATTAATGTTGCATTAATACTGCCTATTTACGATTCTAGCAAACGGTAGTGATTGCACCAGATTTCTAATGAATGTGAAAAGGAATCTCATCAAATTCTCTAGCATTTATAATCAGCTCTGTCAGCTCAATCACTGAGCGTCCAATAGTTTTAATCTGGAGGTTTATTTCACATGAGGTATGCAAACGTACATTAGATTAACTCCTAAATTTGATGTGCGTCTGTCATGCCGTTTTATGTGTGCAGATGTCACCGTGTCACGCTGCTGTGTCTTGTTCTATGATTTATCTCTATCAGTTCAAGGTCATCTAATTTCTCTGAAGTATCTGCAACAGGCATCTGGCCCAGACCATCACTTCATTCCTTCCCCTCCATCCCTCCGTCCCTCCCACCAGCCCTCCCTTCCTCCCGCTGCTGTCAAGGTCAAATCAAATTGGATCCTATCCTCCCCAGTGTTCCCTCTCGCTTGCATCTGTGTGTGTGTGTGTGTGTTCGCATATCTATCCATATATGAATAAAAGCTGCGTCTGTATGTCAGCTTTGTATCCGTGACTGTACATGAGCCTGTAACTTTGATCGCCAACGTGTGCGTGAACGTGGGCTGAATACATTGGCTCACGTTTGGTGTGCGTACGTGGATGTGTGTATCCTGTGTTGATGTGAGTGTGTGTGTCAGCGTGTGTGTGGCCTCTGAACAGCGACTCCCATGCCTGACCCCTTCTTCGTGCAGCTTGCTGTCATTAAAGCTCAACCGGGTCCCAGAGGAACAGTTCTGTGTGTCCGTGTGTGTGTGTGTGTGTCCGTGTGTGTGTGTGTGTGTGTGTGTGTGTGTGTGTGTGTGTGTGTGTGTGTGTGTGTGTGTGTGTGTGTGTGTGTGTGTGTGTGTGTGTGTGTGTGTGTGTGTGTGTGTTGGAGGCCCTATATGGACCCTCACAACAGTCCAGTGTTTGATCTTCCCGTGCTGCTCTCAGACTTTACATTTGAGGAGTGTTTGTGCTTGTAAATGTGTGTGGGTGTGAATGTAGGTGTGCAGGTGCTTTCAGGCTCTTTTCTGTTTGTACAATGGATAAGAGGGGACAAAAAACGTGGCAGTCGTATTTATTATTGGGTCACTTTTCTGGCCCTTTTTCACACCACCACCTCTCTTTGGCCCTCCCTTGCTCGCGCTCACTGATCTGATTGGAGATGTAAACGGCCTCTTATTAACCTTGATTCCAGAGAATGGTGGCTCTCCTGTGGAAAACAATCCTGCGTGTTTGTGTGTGTGTGCGCTGCTTTCACTGGCGTACAATAGCGTTCTTTAAACACGCGACACACAAAGGCAGTTATGAAATGACGAGCTTAAACTAACAATGCTTAGCCTGATGACAGTGCGCGTGTAAATGTGCGGCTATTAAACAGAGAATTGCTCTTGCTCTGCCTCCATAATGGGCAATAGGTTCAGTTAGCGTACATTAGCAGGGGGTGGGGAGGGACAGCATGCCCTCTTATGAGCCTAGTGGCCCTTCATCATGGCTGTAAGAGGGTTTAAGGGGATCAGGGGGGGGGGGGTTTGATGCCGAGGCGCAGCTGCGTTGTTGCCTCCTCGGTGTGATTTGTTCAAATGTAACTATACGTTATAGCTGGGGGGGCTAGCTATTGGGAAAATCTATCATTCTTAAGTACAATCAGTGTTTTGGATTCTCTCAATTGCCTCAGTGAGCTAGTTTTCAGTCGGTGTATTGTTGATGCCTATTTTGTAGTTTAGAGGGCATAATTTAATCTACTGAAAGCATTTTTCAGGAAATCCAGTATGTGAAATCCCTAATTGGACCAAATGAAAGTGCAAAACTAATTATCATAGCTTGTGGTTGTTGCTGTGACGTTTTGAGCGTGTTCCCGTGGCTGGGTCGGAATATGTCACAACTGAATATTTCAAAGCAATAACAACAACATCTGACATGTTGCCTTTTTTTCACATTGAAAATTGGCATTTATTATGTTAGGTGCTGCTTGGTTTTGACGAGGAAAATGCATTATTTGACATACATTTGTTTATTTCCACAATAAAGCTTCTGATAAACAGAAATAGCATTTGAAAACATTTAGTAGAGTTCACCAGACAGACACCTAAGATAATATGGACATTTCTTATCTTTAGTTAACAAACATATCATCCTTATCTTTCTAGGATCTTTATCGTTTACATTTTTTTGTAAAAGCTTAACATGAAACACAAGAGCTTTATATTTGCACTACCTTGTCAAGTGTCTTCATCATTTCAAGTTTTAATTGTAAAAATAAATGTTATTCATCATGAGGGAAAAAATACTTCTTAGCTATCTCCTGTTCCTCTTGTTCCTTTTCTCTTATCTCAAACATGAATTTACCTCTCTCTACATATGAACCATCATCATCATCATCAATCATCATCATCAACTTCTCACCCTTTGATAATGACTGACTGAGGATATGAATCTTTAAGGATTATCGTTAAGAGCCAGATAAGAGAGAAGCTGAATGGTGAAGTTGCATTATCAC